AGTGGGCAGAGGGGGGAGGGGGTCAGATAAAGAAAAAATTACAGAATTTGTGTGGAAGACCGTTGAAATTTCCAGCGTTAGGGGTGTGTCTTTAGGAAAATTTGAATTCCTTCATGGGTGACTAAATACTGGAACTACACAATATGAATAAAAGGCACACTAAATGACTAAAGCAATGGCTTACGTACTCTTTGAGCTGCTCGTTTTTCTATTTCTGGTTTACGCTTTCTCAAAGCTTTGGCTCCCTCTACCCAGTAAGGCCAGAATCGGGTAGCACGTTCTCGCATCCATGACCATTTATCATCTTTGAACCACTTCAGAAGTCCTTCTATATCTGTGCGTATTGTGGCCTAAGTTTAAAACATATTTAGAGAAGATATATCAGTGGTAATATAGTGTGAAAACTGACAACTAGTGACACACCTAGGAATAGCCATGGATGGTGGGAGGGCAGACAAATGAATGGATATATAAATGGATGATGGACAAGTGCAATGTGGACTATGGATGGATGGATGGGATATGTAGATGGATAATGGATGCTTGACAAACAGACGGAGGGAGAGACAAACGGACAAATGAATGGATGATGGACAAGTGCAATATGGACTATGGATGGATGGATGGATGGGATAGATGGATGATGGATGCTTGACGGACAGACTGAGGGACAGATAAAAGGACAAGAAAGAGTAGAGTGTATCAAGAAAGTATTGAATTCAAGATGCACGAAAACCTTATCTTATAATAAACAATATTTTTCAACACATGATATAATTGTTACCTTCTTTCTTGATAACAGTGGATCAGGTTTCTCTCTTCCAGGAAGTAATGGACACCATGCCTCTGCCTGGAAACCAGAAACAAAAACATATATTAAGTCATAAAAATTAAGTAATAATTACAGTATGAGTGGCTGTGTTGTATCAGATATATCGGATACAACACGGACACAAATACTGTAGATTGCTTGTCAAACATCTAGGTTAGTTCCTTTGTGTTTCACTAAAAAAATTTCAAAATTAAAATGAATCTGGCCAAGAAAATCCAGCTTAAGGTTTATGCAAATGAACACAATTTTGTATCAGATTTACAACACTCTTCATGGTCAGGATTTCTGTTGTTTTCCTCATGAATTATTAATGAGTTTGACAATAATAATAAAGGTCCTTACTAATATTATATACTTGACGAGATATATACTTTTATGCACATGTGGGCATATGGAAATGGACATGCGTGTTTACTAGTATGAAATACCTCTGTCTAAATTTAACAAAACTGCCTAATTTCAGAATTTACTACTAATAGGGCCTCACTGTTAGTAATTTCATTAAGCTAGCAGTCTGTCTTTCTTCACTATTTTGTGGCTCTCATGTTGCTGTTACATTAGGCCATCATGTAGCTTGTCAGGATTTACTCCTAAAGGCCCTGGTGTTGGTATTTATTATTACAGCATGCAGTCTTTTGTTTGTCGCTAGTTTGCGGTTCTCGTGTTGCAGTTACAAGGCCATCATGTCACTTGTCAGGAGTTTCCCCTAACAGGGCCTTGGTGTTAGTAATCATGATTAGAGCAGTCTTTCATTTGTCACTAGTTCCTGGCTCTTATGCATGTTGTTAAAAGGTCATGGTGCTTGTCAGTATTTACCCAGCTTAACAGGGCCTCATTAGGCACTTATTGATATTATTATTACCTCACTCAAAAACTTGAGAATAGTGCAGTCCTCTGAAGGTATAATATGATGCTCATCMATGTAACAATCTGTACTTTTCTGCCATAAAGCCTTGATCCACTTAAAAGAAAAGTTGAAAAAAATCATGAATATTAATGAATAATGAGGCACAATAAGTATTGAATTATTATTATTATTATTACTATTATTATTATTATTATTATTATCATCATTATTATTAATGAAGAAGCAGGCTGCGTGTGCAGATGACTTTTGCACCATGCCAGAGAGGTGCATTGCAAATACAGTCCTTTGACTAAACGTTGTCGCTGATCGGATCATCTCTACGCGCCTAGACTGAAAAGGATAATGGGTAAATTACCCAGAACTTGTGTCATCCAAACTGCTTGCCAGTTTAAATCTTCGCCCTATGCTTGAGGCATGGTTTTAGCAAATTAAATAGGATCGAAAACAGCGAGCTCAAGATGTGTTAGATAACATATGCGGCAGCTATAGTAACTGTGAATTAATTATCCCCACAATTCTTTTCAGTGTAGGCGCGTAGGGATGAAGCCGATCAAACAACAACGTTTAATCAAAGGACTGTATGCTTAGAGTGTTATACAGCATAGTTCTCAACCAATCAGAAGTTGCTTGCTTATCATGCAAGGTGATAATTGTATAAAAAACAGTATGTGGACTACCTGTATAAGAACATGGACTAGCTGCTATTGCTGGTTTTCACATGACGTCATCAAAACATCAAAATCTAAATTTTAGATCGTATAAAGACATTTCTCAAGCATGTTTTAGAAGTCAGTGTTATAAGTCACAAGAAAAAATCTCGAGTCATTTCGATGTTTGGTTCCCGAGTTATGAAGGTTGAGTTTGTGTCACGCAATACCGTCACCTCTCTCTCAATAGCGATGAAAATATTGAAATAATTTACTTTAGTTGAAAGATTTTCTCTTAGACACGTTTAAAATATCCATTTAAAGTATTTTTAATTGAGATATTGTCAAACATATTAAATATTCCATCATTTTAAGTCTTTGGAATTTTGTCCGCCATGATGGTGTACAAACTTGGAACACCAAGATGGCCGCTCCATACATTTTAACCAAAAATTGCGTCATGTTTACTCGCCTATAGTTCCGCAACGAAATGCTTTACAGCCTTAAAATTTGGTCAGCATATGTAGATTGGACTGCTTTACAAGAATTTAGAAAACTCATTAATAATTCATGAAGAAAACACAATAGAAATCATGACCATGAAGGTGATTTTATATCTGATAAAGATTCGTCTTCATTTGCATAAACTTTAACTTGGATTTTCTCTATCAAACTTGGTTCATTTCGTAAAAAAATCGGTACACAATGAGAACAAACATCATAAGTTTTCTAAGCCGTTCAATAATCTCGCAGATCGTGKTTTATCGGGTCTAAAACCACTCGGCTGCGCCTCGTGTTTTATACCCGATAAAACACTCCTGCTCGTTTATTAAACATTACATAAAACTTCTATTTCATTATAATGCGAATTTACGCTTTTGAAATTCTTGATGACGTAGGTGAAAACCAATAATACAAAATATTWAAAAAAATTATGATAAGCAATCATTGGACATTTAAGTTGAGAAACATTTGTGATTTGCTAGTGGCAAGCGAGCAATAATTATTTGCTGATGTAAAGGCAGACTGAGGCAAACAATATTGCTTGTGAGACACTTACAAATCACAGAAATACTTTGTGATACCAGGATTTGATAATCTGTATGACCATTAGTATTGATTGTAAATCATACCTTAACTTTGTGAGCACAGAAGGGATGTCTCCAGTCATTTGGTATCACACATTTCCTCTCTTTTATTGCAACAACATCTGTGAAATAATAAAATGGACATTTTAGTTCAATGTTTTCATTGTTAACTAAGTCTATGTACAATTTTATTGGACTTGGCATATTGCATGTTTAGTATACAGTAAACAAATACTGTGATAAAAAATATTGTCTTTCCCTTGATTTTAATTATAGATAACTTTCCTTGCTCTTATATACAGGCTCTTTTGTTATCCTAAACCTGACATTTTTTAAAATCTGTGACTTAGATCAGCCTAGAGGTTGTGTCAGGGATCTTTGAGTTAGCCTTAACCCAGCTGACCTAGTTCAGCCTTCTGCATGATAACATTGAGGGATTTTACCTTTCTTTTGGTTTTCTCTACTTCCAGGTAATACCAGTTTATCACGTACTTCATATGTTTGTGAAACTTTTCTCTCAAGGTTTTCTAGACGCTGCAAAATGTTTGGTAATGTTGCTTCATCTAAACAACAAGCAAATGGATATGCAATTAATTATTATGTTAAGTATATGCACAACTGCTAAAAAATAATACAGTTGACAGTATATTTAAATAATGAAGTTGTTCGACCAGCAAGCATTGCACTTTGAAGGTAAAATATAGACTGACTCCAGACAGACAGACTGACTGAGTGATCACTAGCTGACTGACTGGCTGACTGACTGACTGGCTGACTGACTGACTGATTGTCTGACTTCAGACAAATTGACTGATGTACTAACTCACTCACTCACTCACTCACTCACTCACTCACACACTCACTTACAGACCTACTGACTGACTGACTGTTGAGACTTGCTTGCCATATATATATATACAGTGTATATATATGTGTGTATATATATACAGCTATTCCATGTAATCGAAGCATTATTTGAAATGTTTTTCCACATTTTGATATCACAAGGCTTTGCAATATCTATTCTTAGCAGCCATAAAAAATGCCATTACAAACAATATATAGATCATCATCTACGTAGGGCATTTTAGAATAGCCCCCCTCCCCCAATATTTCTGACCTAATCCCCCCCCTCCCCCCCCTTCCTTTCCCAAATACTTTTGACCTAGCTGGCTACAGGCCTATCTAGTTATGTGCAGTCCACTTGGAGAAAGATAACCAATCATGACATAGAGTGAAATAACAAAGAAATCAAACTTTACCACAATCAGGAGCAAGCATATAATAATGAAGCCTACATATCTAAGAAAAAAAACTGTTTAATAAATTAAACGAGCAAGAGTTTTTTATCAGGTTTAAAACCAAGAGGCCATATGCCTCGTGATTTTAGTCCTGAAAACACACAATCTACGAGTTTATTGAATGACTTCAAAAATTCCCTGGGCTTGCTTTAAGAATATTGAGTGTTTACCGGGTATCAAGATCCATGCACATGATGGATTGGAAAGACCTGATAAAGTCTAAATGCTCAATAATTATTCATGAATTTTTGAACATGAATGAATCGAAAGGTTGTGATTGTCTTAGGTCAATACAATATTGATTTTCCTCGCATAATTGGCTAAAGTTTTTTTTAATCTTTAAACTCTCTTTGTCCTGTTATAATTAGTGTGTCACTACTGTAAGTAATCTGCATGATTTACATGGCTACTACATCAAGGTTAGAAACATGCAAAACTTTTAGGTCGTGTAATCTGATGCTCTACAAGGATATTTTTTAGATTGCAGATAAGTAAATTGTACAAAATCATTTAAATTTTAATACTGATAAGCAGAAACTCAGAAAAAATTTGGGGGGGACGTTTTAGAAGCTTTATACATCCTGCTTTAATGAGAGTGCAATAACAAAAAGAAGAAAAATAATTAAATTAACACACAGCTAGGGAGAGAGAGAGAGCATTCGCCTTAAGAGAGGATGTCAGCAAAAATCGAACATACGCTGGCAACAGTCGAAAAATTGAATTTGCTCATATTTTAGTATTAGGCAGACCTTGATGCGATATAAACCGTGGTATACTTCATTTGCCAAAATATCGCTTTATTTCCGAGAAAAACAAGGAGATCCCATTTGTGCATAATTGACCCTCTGAGAGAGCCAAAATATCACCCAACTTCAACTGCCTCGCGTGCCTTTGCAAAAATGTGTATGGACTTGATTGTTGAAAAACTTTTTTTAACATTGTCTTGACTTTAAATCTGAAATTTTATTATTTTCCAATAAATTTATGTTGGTGAAAATTTTTTTATTACCAAGCTACTTTGGCATGTCATCAAATATAAAGAACTTTCAAAAAATATTTAAACCATGTGCTATATAAAATTAGAAAACTCATTAATAATTCATGAAGAAAACACAATAGAAATCATGACCATGAAGGTGATTTTATATCTGATAAAGATTCGTCTTCATTTGCATAAACTTTAACTTGGATTTTCTCTATCAAACTTGGTTCATTTCGTAAAAAATCGGTACACAATGAGAACAAACATCATAAGTTTTCTAAGCCGTTCAATAATCTCGCAGATCGTGGTTTATCGGGTCTAAAACCACTCGGCTGCGCCTCGTGTTTTATACCCGATAAAACACTCCTGCTCGTTTATTAAACATTACTAAAACGTCGATATTTAGAAATTGAGAAGTTAAAACAATGTTCTAATCGTGAGTAAAGTGATTGTTTTGGGTATTTTGATCTCTTTGAAGTTGGATGATATTTTGGCCCTCTCAGAGGGTCAATTATGCACAAATTGGATTTCCTCGTTTTTCTCGGAAATAAAGCCATATTTCAAAAAACGAAGTATACCACGATTTGTTTTGGCTATATGTCTACCTTATACTTGAACATAAGCGAAATCGATTTTTTGACTGTTGCCAGCAAATTTCGATTTTGTTTGATTTTTGCTGACATCTAATCTTAAAGATAGAATTAAGAGAGAAATTGAAAACGAAGCATTAAAACAGATAAGTAATAGTACTACTATAAAAATAATCCAAAATTTATTCACGGTTTTTTAAAGACGTTAATGTTTAGAGAATTTGAAGACATAATATCAACATGTTAAGTAATTTTCATATATGGATCATTAATTACGTGTATCGATTCATGTTTGAAACCTAGATAATTCTGAAACAGCAAAGGGGGAAATAATTCCAATATTTGTTCCAACAGCCTATTAGCATGAGGAAGCTTTAAGCTTACAACGGTATATAAGACTTATAATAAATAATGATGATCTAAGTCTTGTGTAGCGTGGTAAGCTACTAGGCATGCTACATGTACTAAGAGCTTACCTTGTTTTTCTCTTGAAGTCTTCGCTCCCAGCTCGATAAGATTCGATCCAAACAACACAGACAATATAAAAAGGAAAGATAGCACAATAAAGATGAATCTACCGACTATTTTACATCGTTTAAGACGGATCATAGAGACCATTACTCTTACTAAATACTAAACGTTAGTCTTGTTTGATTGAACCAACTGAGTATGACGATAGTGGTGGGGGACTAGGTACGTTAGTTGTATCAGCTATGACAGCTCCACGTGGAAAGGTCAGTAGCATAGTAACCAAACCCATAAACTAAGCATTCAAAATTCAACCATAAATTAAACTTCGACCTAAAAGCAAACACACCCTAAATAATATAACGTGAAACTCATAATTTGTAACATAGGAAAATATGAATACTCGTTGAGTATTTTGAAGCTACAGACCTTTGAAAACGACAAATTTTTTCAGTCAAAAAAATTCATTTGTCAGTCCATGTAATTAAAACAAATTAATTTCTCGCTTTCTCTTAAAATGTCCGAGTCTAATCCCTCGATATTCTCTCTCAGATATCGGAGACAGCTGAAAAATAACAGTGGATTTGAAATTCCACTCGGATCTTGAAACCCCAATAGAATACAGCAACTCGTATTTGAAACATTACGTTACATTAAATACTGCTGCAGCCGGATGAATTTGTAACGTTTCTTGCTATATTTGCTTTGGCTTCACTTTTTCGGCGCTAGCCGTCACTAGGTATAAATTGTTTTATATTGTGTTACGGTCACCAAGAAGTTCAGACATTGTTCTGGAATTTCCGTACAAATGTACTCAGTACTGACTTTAAATGAACTATTTACTTGGTTAATATTTAGTTAGTTCTCTAAATACTAGTAAATAATCATTTTTTCTAGCTTGATTGATGCTTTTCTTACTGCTGCTAAGATAGCTAACTAAAGAAATCTACCTAAATTTTCTCTTTAAACTCAGTGAATTTGTATGGAAATCCGAGAACGATGTCCGAATTTTTTGGTGATCGTAACACAATCCAAGCTAGCGCCGAAAAGGTGAATTTGGCACCGAGCCCCCTCCACTGGGGACATTACACTTGATCCTCAAGTCTCGGCAAATCCTACATGTAAAGCAAAGTAACCATAAAGGATGTCCTTCATGGTATCTTTTTTAATCGAATAGCGCTCGCTATCGGTATTACCTGTAACAGTTTATTTTATTTTGTTTTATTTTTTCGTCGTTCACTGAGGAGCAGTGAAAGGCTTATGCAAATAACCCACTCTGAGAGTGAAAATAATTCTGTTCGAAGTTTAAAAACGATCGAGGTCACAAATACCAGAAATTTAGCAGATTAATAAAATGGGCGAGCCACTTTTTGCAGTTGTTACAGCTTATTTTATTTATTTATTTACTTTTCGTCGTTCATGTGAAGGAACCGATGCAAGGCTTATGCAAATAACCCGACCGAATGAGAATATTTGGTAAAGTCTATTCGAAGTTTAAAAACGATCGAGGTCACGAAAACAAGAAATTTAGCAGTTTGATAAAGCGGGTGAATAAAAAACAGACAGGCCCTGAGTAAAAATTGAATATTACGATGATAATGAATRTATTAATTCTTGACACCTGCGGCTATTGTTAATAAACATGACCAAGTATGATATCACGGCCAGAGTGGAAGACACACATCATATTGACTGAAAGACTTCAGAAAACAAATACAGAATTCAATGAAAAGAAGTTAAATCCGATTCGATATTCATTTCCATCCGGTTAGATCCTCATTATAAAATGGTAGCGAGTGAGATTTAATCCTCGTCCATCCTTGATGCGCATGCTCGACGAATTGCCAATCTTGTACCCAGAGCCCTTATTTCTTACTGCGAAAATATGTGCAATAAGAAATAAGGGCTCTGGGTACGAGATTGGACGAATAGCCATTTTGACGAGCATACTTGCTCTGGGATCAAAATTGAATGCTTATCAACCACAGCAATTTTATTGACTTTCATAAGCTTCTATGCATCGATCGGCCCCCACACATCAGTCCTTTATATATAGAAAAGAAACAATAATCTTGCGCTAGATCGACAAAAAGAGGTGGCTATTTTCGCAGAAACTAAGTGCACATGAATTGATTTTTGGTTTTGTGGTTTTGTTTTTTTCCTTTTCTTACTTCATTGTATTTATTTATTCTTTTATATATCTTTTTTTCCTTCTGCTTCGTCAAGCTCGTTATGGAATTTCCGTTAAATTTCCTCTATTCTCCTCTATGTCGTTCTGCTCGCTCTCATTAAGAACTGATTAAACTAAGGCTTCCACCGCCAGACGACCGTGGGTCGTCAGTTCTGCGGGACCTTTTTTCCACAGACAACGTTGTACATCTGTGTGTAAAGCTTAATAATTCAGAGCAGAAAAAAAAAAAAACACGTCAAAATGCGCCATTCATGAAAGATTTTATCTTCAAAGTAGTTTATTCAACTGTCACTTTGGGTAAATATTATCGGAGAAAGTGAAAATTATTAGCATAAGTGCGTTTCTTATTCCATTTGGTTAAGCTTGTGGAATACCAAAACGACAAAACCTGTGGGCTCGCTTTTAAACAACTGTGAAGAATTAAAACACAGCCTTATGTAACGGACCTTCCAAACCTGATATTCTTTTTTTCTGTTGGTGAGCAGATTAATGGTGTTTATTATCTGAACGTGGGATGACACTTCAGTAATGAGTCATTGGGAGCAGTGATGTAGGAGTAGATAGAGTCATTACCGGGGTAATTCATAATTCTTTTCATTTATCTGATATGATGAATTCAGTATGGAAAACTAAGCTATATCATTGATAGAGTAGGTAAAGCGCCTTCTTGGTTGGCTATATATAAATGTATAAAATTGTATTTCCTTGTTGTTCAATTTCGGGGGAAAAATAAATTTTTACCTCAAAAAACTTATAAAGTATAAATTGTTAAATAGTGCCAAAGTTGAAGCCGTTTGGTCATGACGACGCCCCCCAAAAGCAGGGTTATTAGTTTTGTTTCTCACATTTGAATCAAATAAACAATTAAATCAATCATTTAGTAGAAAATAATCAACGCCAAAACATTATCTTCAGTGATCATGAACTGCGGTTAATATCATTACTGATGCACGAAACTGTAAAAAAAGGTATCATCAGATCGAACACAGGACGACTGCCATTGAAAAAAGTCGAGTTCTCGCTGATGCAATCACGCAATTTGTAAGATTATTTGTAAGAATACTGAGAAAAGAATTGGATTTCCTCTGGCTGGGATCTTCTTTCGACATTTTTTTGGGCGTAACTCGTTTTTTTAAGTTTCAAGTTTCCCTCTCTAAAAGACCAGCTATTTGAACGTTTATAAATGCAGAGAAAAGATACATATGAATGAGGTTTTTCAAGGTTTTAAAAAATTGACAAATTTCATTGTTTCTTCTCATTGTTACCATAGCAATGCTGATGCCATGAAATGCATGCACCCTTGCATCGTAAATACCAATCTATTGATCTTGATAATAATAACATTAGGTATGAGTTTAAAATTGGTCGAATGGGGGGAAAATATTTTTTTTTAAACTAGGTATGGCTGAAATATGGCAAAAAACGTCTCGAATTCATCCGGCTGCAGCATATAAAGGAGATGTTATGTAAGTGCTCCTGAAGTCAAAAACCAGTAATATCATTTATCGGGTCCTGCCAGGATAATTGATGTGAAAAAGCATATTGATTGATGCCAGGTATTTTATCAGATCGACGTTAAGTAATATTTCAAAACCGACAATGAGGACTGGACGGGATTTCAAGTCCAAGCAGGCCATTTCACGGATCCCGTTACTCAACCTCAGCCTCGTCAGCGTGTAATTATTCTTTAGAATTTGACTACAGTCCGCAGTAATGAAAGGAATTTACACATCAACGAACAATTGAAACACTTAAAAATTTTACAGGTTGTAGGCAATTTCTAAAGAATATATTACACGCTGACGAGGCTGAGGTTGAGCCACGGGATCTGTGAAATGGTCTATTAGTTCCAGTCCGAGGCGCAGACTTGAAATCCTGTCCAGTCCGATATTGGAGGCTTTGAAATGACTTCTCATGCTCATTAATTATACGACTTGGAGTAGCTGGAACAAAATTAATTCAGTCCTAGGACTGAATTAATTTTGTTCCAGTTACCTCAGATTGAATTCAGTCCTTTCACAGCACTTTACCAGGTTTCAAGTAACATCATGTGACCCAAAAATAGCCTATTGATTGGCTGGTTTCCTCATGAATTATTAATGAGTATGAGAAAATTATATATATATATACTTAGATCTGAAGCGAACTAACGCAGTTTACACCTGTGTAGTCGGCAATCTACTATGTCACATATACCAGATTTGAACTCCAGCACCTATGTCTCCCTAAGAACAAGAAAACAAGAATTGATTATAATCGAAACTTTTATCTATGCGTTTATTGCCTCGGCAGCTGCTTTCGGCAATTCCTTGGTTCTATGGGTGGTTTACAAAAATCCAACTCTACGATCAATACCAAACTATTTTGTAGTCTCTCTGGCCTTCTCGGATATTGGTATGGCATTGCTTGGTACTCCGTGGTCTATCGGTACGCTCGCAACAGGGAATTGGCCCTTTAGTTTTGTTGCATGTCAGTTCCAGGGATACGTAGTGATTTGGTTAGCCGTGGCGTCGTTGTTGAATCTTATGATCATGGCTTTCAATAGATACTGCCGCATCGTAAACACAAGCTGGTACAGAAGAATTTTCACCGCAAGAAGAACAAGAATTTTGATCTTCTCTGCTTACGCAATCGCATCCTTGGGACCGCTTCCTTATGTTGTGGGAGGAAACATCTTCGTATTTCAACCAGGGAAGTTCTTCTGTTACCAGAAATCCCTCCTAGAGTTTACTATGCCATTGATGCTAATATTCATCGCCATCCCTACTGTTACTATCATCATTTGCTATCTCAAAGTCTTTCTAGCCTTGAGGAAACACCGAAAAAACCTGTTCAAACCAAACACTGACCTTGCTCAGACTCATTGCCCAAGAATTACAGTCGAAAACATTCGAATCACGAAAACTTTATTTTCCACCGTTGTCGGGTACCTCTTATGTTGGATGCCTGTGTTGGTCGTCGAGTTCATAGACCTAGCAATTGGATTTGGCAAGGAAAATTTGCCACGCCAAGTTTACGTCATGTTCACGATGTGTGGTCTATCCTCGTCGGCCATTAACCCTATTATCTATGGAGTTATGAACAAAAATTTTGCTAGAGAATACAGGCGAGTATTTGGATGTGTCGCTCGGAGTAATGATACTAATAAGGTCAATCCGATCCGAATTGCGCCTCAACGTAAAGTACAGGACAACACAACCCTATAAGTCCTTAAAAATAGGGAAAGGATGAAAAGTATACAATTACCAGCTCGGCTATCTTAAAAGTTATCGGTAAGAGCCGAGCACTTAAAAGCTGGTTTCCAAAGCTTAGTGGTTTTTGAACCTTAATTTTTTTTTCGTGATTAAATAAATTCGGCCTAAAACAGAAAGGGAAAACAATGTTAAGCAGGCAAAAAAAAGCAAGGAAAATAAAAGAAAACGTGTAAAACATCAAGAAAAAGCACCAAGAAAAGCAAAAAAGCAGTTTTTGTACAGAGATTAAAAAATGGCATCTCTATAGAAACCAAAGTATAGCTTTCAAAATCCACTCGTCAAATATGTCATCTTTCATCCAGATCACCATCAGTTTTACAATTCAACTTGCTCCGCGCCGAGGCTTTGTATGGGTTAAGCCTTCACGTTCGTTCACTGCCGATATATATATTCTTTTTACTTTGTTATTATCTTATGTACAATTTTTCTCTTCATATACTATTCGTACTATCGTAAATTTTCTATCCTTATATATGAACGTTCGATATTATCTATCCTAACAGCCTTATGTAAAAAAGTGGAGAGGAGATCTTCACGAAAATCTGAGAGACCGCATATTGAAAACTAGAAATTAGTCTGACAATTTAGGAGATAAAATTATCCGACATCTACACGTAATTGGGTGAGCTTATTCAAATACAGACATGTCAGTTAATCAGAGGGTTGGTAGTACCTTATGTATTTTATAAATAGTTTCACAAATAGTCTCGGTGTTAATTTCTATATAAAATCTAGATTAAACAGTTATTATTTGTTTACGATGCCAGATGCTAGCTGTTTTGGTCAATAGCGTTCATGCGCACGTTTTTGATACAGCGAGCCGCTGCCTCCTGAACATCGTCGTCCTCCGATCCTATCATTTTCATCAGATGCTGAAAAAGAAAAAGAAAAAATATATATATAAAAAGGGTTTCAAAAATATAAAAAAATCCATTGCGTGACATCAGGGCTAAGAATTCTTAGATACTCTTTCTGAGTTGGCCGATCATTTTTTCGTCAGAGCTACTATATTGGTCACGCTGTACCACGGAGTCTCTATCGCGGATACAGGTGAAAAAAGCACTGCGCATGCTCGGACGTTCGCCGGGAAATATTCGGAGGCGCTTCGTGTTTACGAATAAATTCAAAGGAGATTTACCGGTGATGGATCTCCCGAGTGCCGCGTGAAACTCAGGAAAATCTCCAAGTAGTAGATAAATAAAAGAAACTTTCTCTTTGACGAGACAGTTTGCAAAAGGTAATTTTAAATGCGGAGAAAAAATGTGATCATCTCTGCCGTTTGCGGGAAGAAACAACGCGATGCTTAATCTGTCTAAATCAGACTTTATCTTTTAGAATCACCTTAAGAGCACCATGTCTGTGAATGAGGTAACAATTGTGTGGGTCTTGGGATAGTTTTTCCAGTGCTAAGGCTGTTGTCCTGTGTACTTCAACACCCTTATACAAGGCAAATCCTTCTGAAAGAGGAACCACAGTAGACGATAGAGCTGTGATATTTTTATCTAGGTTACAGCACCTGAAAATTAAAATGCACGATAAAATAATGGAAATCAATAGATATAAGGTTTTTTTCTTTGGGGGAGGGGGGGGGGGGGTGCAAAAATCTTTGAGGGGGGGGCACTGAAGATTATATTTAACGCTATGTGATAATGATAATGTTTTGCAGACGCATGCGCCGTAAAACAATGACTAATACAATACAATACAGTTTTATTTGGCACCTTATACTTAAGGTATATTATAGGTATATATATATGTACTATGTATTAGNGGGGCATGAAGAGTTTTTATGGGGGGGAGGGGGAGGGATCAAGTGAAGCATAGCGGTAGTGCACTCGCAACTCTCACCTCTGGGGTCTCGCGTATATTCCAGGACTCGGCAACACATGTAAGTCGAGTTTGTTAGGTCATGAATCTATTACTCATACACAATTTACTCTAATAGTTTGGATCCCTTGGTAACACTTACGTAGCTATTGCTTCTGCAACGTATTGTCTCATTTCCTCGTCGTCCTAAAAAAATAAGAATTCCCTATAAAAATATAAACTAAAATAAAGAAGGATTACTAAAATCAGCAGGGGAGACGAAGGAAGGTAACGCCTACTTAACAACCGGTAAGATGCGGTATTTAACATGGTCGGTAGAAAAAATGAGCCAAGCCAAGTGAAAGGCTGACGTGAGAAGCAAGATATGGATTATAGGACTCGGTGTTGTATGTGCGTAGACTTGTTTGTTGGTTCACACCTGTACGTGCTTCGAACTGTTTTTCTCCGGGTTCTACGGTTTTCATCCCTCCACGAAAATCGACTCCTAAATTCCAATAGGGCGTTTGTACGATGGCGTCATTGACCTCTGCTACCAGACTCCTTTGCACACTTTCTTTTGTTCAGTTAATTAGCACCATTTGTCTCACTATTCTCATGAGGGAATACAAATAAGAATAAGAAAGAAAATTCGCGAAGCATCTTGGTAGTGGGAGTTAAATAACGTCATCATGCAAACAGCCTATTCCATCATGGAACGAGGACCACATTGTTAGCCACTGGCTGTAAAGTGCAACCCTCGTGAAAAGAGAGACAACCAGGACAATTATTATATAATTCATTATATATATACTAACCGCATAAACAAGTGAGATGAGTAATGGGACAGCATCATAATCAGTCATTATAGACATGTTCTCACGATCTTGTCCAATGTTGATGACCAAACGGCATGTGTTGATCAACACCTGAAACACGAAAACAACAACCCTATTGATATTATTAATTATTTCAAATAATAATAGTCCGGCATACTAACTTGATCTATCGATCTTGGACGAACAAAATATGGCGCAGAAGCAAAGCAAGAGATGCGGCGTACTTATTTTAATAATAATAAACAATTAATAAATAGTTAATAATAATAAATAATAATCAATTAAAGTTGTTTAATTAAAAGAGACATGGATATTAGTGTGTCAGTAAAAAGTACCTATCTTTTTGGTACCTCTCTCCCTTCCTTTCTTCTTCCCACTATTTCTCCCTTCCTCTTCCCATCCATCCATTCCTTTCCTCTTATCTTCCTTCCCACATTTCTTTATATTTTGTAATCAGTACAGCAATCATCACCTACCTCTCGTTTATTGGACCTCAGAAGATTAGTCACTAGTTCCAGGCCACCGACAAACGAACGAACAATTTCGGCTGATTCCTGAGTAAAACAACAAAATATTTTGTTTTAGCTTGAAACCAAATGTTTCTTTTTTCTTAATCGAAACTATTTGGTCAAAATTGCACGCAAGTATACAAAACTACTGACTGCTATAATGTCTGGTTATAGTTCTTAATTTTACGCACTTTTTAAATTCAAACTCTGGCTACTTTCTGATAGATAAGGGACACTTAGGCCGCTGCCAATGACAGCGTTTTTTCAAAACAGTTCTTCTGAYGTTCATTATATTTTTACAATAATGCATAATATAACAATGTCAAGTGCATGGTGTTTAGCTGACCTACCTTAGCATCAGATACACACATCGCGATTCCATAACAAGCACTAGCAACCACCTTGCATTGGGTATAACAAGAATATATATCAGGTTCACGCCAGATCACGCCAGAAATTCAGTGGAAAAATGGATGGATGGATGGATGGATGGATGGAGGGAGGGAGGGAGGGAGGGATGGAGGGAGGGATGGATGGATGGATGGATGGATGCTACTTACCTTATGATTGCTTGACTTCAACAAAGACCACAGTAACCGCACACCATCACTTGTCAAGATAGCTCTGTAACAATATGTGCAAGTATTTAAAATTCGATAGAGGAAACCTAATAAACTCTTCCTAAATATTTTTTGAGAATACCACCAACATACACCTTGCTGTACCATGTCGTGCCGTGCGTGTGTGTCCGTTTCATATTCCGATTAAAAATCTACGCTACAGCTCTGTCAGACACAGCTGACGGTCGCAATTCTTTTCTGGAAATTGAGGGTGGCGTAGCGCCATGCATTTGCTTCTTGTCTATAGGGGTATCTCGTTCGAATCCTAGCTAGATTCGGTATAACATGTGAGTGGATTTTGCTAAGTCTTTCTTTATTTGATGGGTTTTCACCGGGTTCTCCGCTGCTCCTCCCTCTGCAAAACCTAACACGCTAAATTCCAATTCCATCTGTGAGTTAGCCGCGTACCAACCTTGGCTTTGAACAGCTAACCCAGATGTTGTTTGAGGATATCAATAAAATTTGAAAGTTATGAATAGACCTCCTAGCGTAATGTTTTCCTATTTCATACCACGTGTCATTCCCTAATTTATTTGTTTAGCGAAAGCGTAAGAGGAGGCACAATCTTATCCTTGAAATGACACGTGGTCTGAAATGCGAAAACATTACGCCCGAGAAGATGAGTCTATTTGACTTTAATTTAAACTCTTTTCTTACTGTCTTGGAGCATTTTCCTTAGCACACAAGGCGAGAAGCTTGCTCGAGTTGATGAGTATATTTGGCATGGTCAAGTTCAGTCTATTTATGATGATGTTAAGAACTCCTTCTTCATAAAGGGTTAAGACGTTGCGTCTATTGTAAGCGAACTCGCCCAGGGCCCCTATGATATTTGCCTCAACCTGAAAAAAATGAAAAAGTTTAAACGTGTAATAAGCCATTTCGGGGTACGATTTATTTCCAGGCAAGTTCCTATAATAGTCCATTTTCTAGTTCCTAAAATACCGCTGTGCTCCTTGATTACAGACTCATTTGCTTAAAGTAAGCCTCGTTTTAGCGCTAAATATTCACATATACCGACGGTAAGGTAAAGAATGCACAACTTCATCAATACAAATATTTTGAAATTCCACGGACCTTCACTGTCGATATTCTACACAAAATTGAGGCTAACCCTGAGCAACAGAAAACTAAATCTCTAAACTCGAAACTGGAGTATTCCAGACGACTTGGTATTGGCTTCCGTCAACAAAATGTACAACAGTTTGACTAGGCAGACGTTGAGTTGTTCGCATAATAAGGGTAAAATGTATGGAATACGTCCAATCCACCTGGACGTAATGTTTTTCTATCGCAGACCACGGGTGCTTATTATATCATATCTGAGTCATGTTGTTAAGATATGACTACTTACCTCATGAGGTTGTTTCATTTTTAAATGTCGAATTAAATGATACAATGTATCAAACTTCTCCAATCTGTAACGTCAAGTATGAAAATTAGAATTACGCATATAAACTAGAAGCGATCAAAATATAATATTCTAAAAAACAGGTGCCTTTTCTTCTAACTCTCTTTGCGGCTCTGAGGTTTCCAATTCGTAGAAAAACTATGTTTTTTTTTTTAGTTGACTAATATTATTCATCCTTTCCAAGTAACTAAAGCCTTTGTTTACAACTTGAAGTTTGTCCCATATCGATTTCACAAAGCTTTGCGATATCTATTTTCAGTAACCGTGAAAAGCGCTATTAGTGAAAATGAATCGTAAAAATACAGGGGCGGCGGAAGCTGAAAAATTTTGGGGGGGCACTCCAATATTTCACGGTACCTTGAAATGACCCCCCCCCTCCCTGTTTAGCTTGATTACAAACGTGTATGTGTGATATTTCAATCAGTAACATTTTGCGCGCATTAAACCACTTGCAATTGTGCTGAGAGACACAAAAATGATGCAAGTCGTCGCTAGATATATCGTATATTTTTTAGATACAGAAAATTATGCAATATCAAAATAATAAATAATGGTAATCATAACCAAATCTCATGCCTTTTTTTTTTGTGTGTGAGGCATTATATTCTGGGGGGGCCAGGCCTCTAATGAGTCTGTAATCAAGAAAGACAGCAGTAATTTGGAACTCGAAAAAGGTCTATTGATGAAGTCTTTCACATGTCGATATCTGAGAATAAATCTCAAGGTAGTTGATATATATATTGAACCTACCTTGTCAAGTTTTCTTTATTAGAGGCACATTTCCATATCGCCCCTACTACTGCACCCAGTAGTTTCTTATCCTGATTATTGTCAGTTGATGCAACTACTTGAATCAAAGGATCCAGACCTCTGTGCTTTTGTACAAGTTTTTGTGTCTCTTCGTCATCTCCGCACTACAAAGTCGAACCAAAATATTATAATGTCGCCACGTTTTGCGCGCTCTGCTTTCTGCTCTGTGCTTCCAAAGAAAACAGAGCACGGCAATCAATCAAGGCAAACTGCGCGAGCATTCCGAACTCCAAATTTGAAATCGTTTCTAGCATAAAAACGAAAAACATTTATTTCATCTATAAAGGACATTATAGAGATTTTATTGCACCGCCATTGTGACGGCAGGCAATGTTAGATGACAGGAACAATACAATTGTTTTACATGAGAAATAATTCAATTCCCAAGAGCCGAAGAGATTTTAATGTTCTGCCATCTAACCACAGGAAGCCCAAGCTGTATCATGTGCGTGGGCACGTGATGGTGCAAAACCTCTTTTAGATGAATAAAATGAGTTTGCAAATTAACGCTCTAGTTCCTCACGTGCGCATTATTTGTTTATGTGGTGTACCTTAGTTAGTCTTTGAATAGAGACAGAGTTTTATTAACTTCGTGTTTTACTAATGAGGGAAAGAATTTAGTAGTTGATTTGGTGGTGATTCTAACCTTGAAGATTGCGTTAGCACATAATGTCCTTAGTTCGTTTTCACCCTCGCGTAAGAACCCTACAACGTCTTCTATGATGCCCTCCTTGCGAATTTCCTCCCGGAAAGATGCCTGAAAAACGAAAAGAAATTGTTATTTAAAAAGAAAGAAAGGGAAGAAAGAAAGCATGGGAAAAACGTGAATAGGCGGAAGGTAAAAGGAAAATAAAGAGAGAGAGAGGAAAGAAAGGAAGTAAGAAAGGAATGAAGGAAGGAAGGAAAGAACAACGACAACAACAACAACAACAACAACAACAACAACAAAAAAGGAAAGATATAGGGAGCTGATAGGAAGAAAGAGAGAAAGCAGGAAAAGCAGATTTTTGAAAAACAAGCGTGCACAACTCGTAGTCTTACGTTTTTCAATGAATTTTTCCCCAAATGTATGAACCTTTATCACGCGGCGGCCATGTTTATTCTCATGAAAATTAAGACCTTTGTTTCATCCGCATAAATTTATTCTCAAGCACTTGAATGCGAGGCTACGCGTTGTGGAATCAATTGTTCAAACCAACATGGCTGTCGCATAAAAAAGATCCACTCCGCAATGCTTTTAGTTTACATTTTTTAGATGCGCAATAGAAAGAGAAGACAAAAYTTACATCACTAGAGCACTCCTGTATGATTCCAACCGTTGAAAGTATCACATCACTAGGCCCTTTCCTTAACAACGAAGCAAGGATAGGAACAACGCCCGCGTTACGTATAGCTTCGATGTTTTTCTCGCTTTTGCTGCAGCTCCACAATGCATTGCAGGCGTTATGCAAGAGGGTGCTGGCGTTCTCGGTGTTTGTGTATGCTCTGTATCTTAGTGGCTTTGGATTTTTGTTGGGTTGTAATAACTTGACCTAAAAAAAAATTTAATTTGATCACGTATAAGATCAAACCTGTAATGAATCATTTATAATATGTTGTTTCACTTAGTTTTTTGATGAAAGAATGAAAAATTCAAAACATATTTATATATTTCACTGTTTGATACTCTGATCAAAACACGCGGGATGTTTAGAGAACACGAGAGAAGCGTAGGAAACTATTTTCCATTGACCATTTTCACTGAATCAAAACAGTGGTATTGCGCGCTGTGGCTTACATGGTACGATTTCTCCTCACTACTGTCGCGCGCAACACATTTTAATTTTCAGCTGCCATTTACAGTCGTAAGCAAGTTGTACGGTGGATTTGCATGAAACAATTCATATCTTTAGAATGTTGACCGCGACACTGAGTTTGTAGGAAAAGTCGTACAGTGATAATTGGTCTTAAGTAAATCAAGTTCTACAAGTATAATGCAGTGGTTTTATTACCAGTCGTGGAATTCCATTGTACTTCTTAATTGCGTTGTATGCCTTGCGAAATGACACAAAGTTACTGATCGTCCCGGCCGCGAGGGACTGGATCTCAATAGATTTGTTGTTCAAACATTTGATCAGCTGTTGAATCCCTGTGAACGTTAAAAGGTTTACTTCAATCTACACTATAATCCAAATTCTTATAATTTAAAAAAATGTCTAGTTCGAATTCAAAACAAGAAAAAAAGAAAAAAAAAAAAAAAAAAACGCGGCCGCCATCTTTGATTTCATGCTGCGGCTGCAATTTACGGTGATTCTGCTTCTGATTTTTACGACTGGTATGGGACTAAAAATGTGTTCGGAATAGTCTGCGCAATAGAAGTGCGCGTTAGGAATGCGAATAGCGCCGTTAAAGCATTTATTTATATCAGCATTGCCAAATTTCAAATCATTAGTTTTGACAAGAACACTTTTGACATCTGCCATGTAGCTTGGTTATGCTTGATTAGATGCTGCTACATCAAAACAAACGTTATAACGTAGAGTAAGGGCACATATTCTGGATTACCTCCCAGGCGATAGATCTCGTTGTTCACTCTTCTACTGATTGAAAGACGCCGCAATATTTTCAGAGAACCAATCTGAAAGAAGACGTATCATTCAATGTCAATATGGTTACGTTCCGATAAACTTTTATTAACAGTAAGCAATTGCTTACTATCAATCACGTGACTTTTTGGAGTTGACTGGGGGGCAATCAAGTGGTTGACTGGGGGGCAACTAGCGGATGCTAAGTCAAAACATATTAAAATAACTCCTCAAACTATTGTATTTGACTATTTTCACGACATCAAACCAGAAAACAAGAGATCAAAACAACCTCCACGATTCTACAAGCCATCAAAAAAGAGCTATTACCGGAAGTGACGTCTATTGATAGCAACCTAT